ATGATTGCATAACATATCCTTATGTGAATGTCTCAATTTATTTAATTATTCCCTAATCATTGGGCTGTCCAGAGCTTTTCCAACTTTTTGCTATTACAAGTTCTATTGCAGTTGCTATCTTTTTATTTTTATCTTTATTTGCATCTTTGTTCATTTACTTGGATGGACTCCTAGAAGTAGAATTACTGGGTCAAAGGGTATGGACATTTTTAGCTCTCTTGTTATATATCGCCAAACTGCTTCCCAGAAAGGTTCCTACTCCTGTCCTGGGCGTATACACATCTTAGGGGAATTTCAAGTAGATAACATTTGTTTCTAGCAGCAGTCTTTTCTTTACTTTTTCACCCCTTTATTGGGATATGTTCTGTTTCTTAGGGTCTTGGCCCCAGATATCACTTGCATATTATGCGCCTGATAGAGATGTCACTTGCCTTATTCTTGGCTTGAATCTCCTCCAGTGATGGAACAGAAGGGACTAAAATGGGCAATGAGGTGATATTTTGGACAGAGAAATCTCCCAGTGCCCCTAATCTCACTGTAAGGTAGACAGCTGTTGACTTTTTTTTTTTTTCTTCATGGGCTTTGTCTGGTCAATTGGCAAATGTTGGCCAGGAATCTCGGTTTAATAGACATTTAACCCATTTTCTGCTGCTGATCAATGGGTAACTTCATGCAGATTTACTTTTTTTCTTCAAAGTTTTATTTTTACTATAAATTATGTATTTAATATATTTTCATTTGTAGTATATACTTAGGAACTTATACACTGAAGAAATGTGGATCATATAAAACTTTCCTCTTTTCTATTTTACTTTTCTTTAAAATACATTATTTAGTTCTCTGGATTATGAGAGGCCATGTTTTGGTTTGGTTTGGGGTATGTGTTTGTATGTGTGAGAGAGAGACAGAGACAGAGAGATTGATTGATATTAACTGCATGCACATATCATTTTGATTTGCATTTCACTAAGTCCATTCGGAAGGAAGATGAAGCAGGAAACAGGTCTCAAGAATTGTAAAAAAATCATACGCTATGATCTATCTAGTCATATTATTACTTGGAATTTATGTTGTTTCCATGTGAAGGAAGAAACAAAGCATGAAAATGTGAATTTCAATTTGTAATACTTTCAACATTAAAGAGAATAAAAAGAAAATATGGATTTCAGCATTATTTATAATAGTGAAAAAATTCTAATCATGGAGAACTAGTTAAGTAAATTTTAGTAAATACCATCCAGTAATGTTACGCAACCATTAAAAACAATGATTACAAAGATATGTAGCAACATGGAACATGTCTATGATGTAATTTAAAATCTTTAAAAGGCCGATTATGCAGACTGGGGCCTGAAAAAGCATGCAGAAGTGAAAATGGCTGGCAAGAGCGATCTTTTTAAAGATGCCGACATTGTTATATTGTGCTTTTTGCACTAAACATGGAAACACTCTGGAGGTTTTTTTAAGATAGGGAGAGTGTGCAGCGGGGTGGACTGAGTCCCTTCTTGTCTGTTCTCTTTGTTGTCCATGTGCCGTGAAGGCTAAGAGGCTACTTGCTGGGTGGTTTCGTTGCGGTGTTCGAGCGAAGGTGAAGAGGCTGGGTGAGAACACTTGGCATGCCGTCCCAGAAGATGGGAGAAAGTCACTGTCAGCGGGCAGGGGCAGGGGCAACTCCTGGGTCAAACCACCCAATGTCCCCTCCACCCAATATTTTTACACTGCGGAACTTAAAGTTAGAATGAAATTTAAGATAATTGATTTTAGAAAGTCAGAAAATAGGCTACAACTGTATAACTGGAAGAATGTTGTGAGAGTCAGAAGGACATTTTGAAGCTTTGTCTTGGTCTTAGTAGGGGAACTTGGGGGGACAGTGTGTGTGTGTGTGTGTGTGTGTGTGTGCATTCAGGTGGGTTTTCTCCCCCCTATAGTACCAATTGCTGACGCTTCCCTTTCTCCCCTCACTGCTCAGTTGTTTGGGCTGAATTAATTGCATTAGAGGAGTCCCTCTGGGAAAAAGAGGAGGAGCCAGCAGAGACTTGAAAGCTGATGGTGACATGTTAAGGCAGGGAGAGGGGATTTGAGGGCTGGGGTCAGCAGGCTCTTTGTATCAAATCTTAGCAGCTGTTGTGACAAGGGCTCTACTAATGGGATCTGAACGAGCTGTCAGAGGGTTGGGACTTAGGACCTCAGGGTTGTGTTTTGTGCCCATCTTTGAGTATGTCACTTCTGTGTGGGTCGGCTAGTTATAACCACGTGTCCCTGTGATGCTGGTTCTCCTGCAGCTGATTCTTCCCCCCACTTCTCACATTCCTTATGCACTCTGTGACTCAGCAGCTTCTTGGGACATCTGAGCAGCTTTTTTTCTGGGGCTAGAACCACAGTCAGGAGATGTTGTAACCAGAACTCTCCCTTTTATTATCTTCTCTTTTGGTACATGGAGATCTCCCTCCCATGGATCTATGCACATGGGAAGCCCCCTCCACTAACGTGGGCTGTTGGAGGATTGTAGAAAGAGCGCCTTCTTTAGCCACTGACTTGAGAAAAAGACAGGCATTGATTAATCCTGTTGGCTGAAAACGGAACATTTGAAAGCCAGCATGAAGTTGGGTGCTGTGCTTATCCTCAGGGCCCAGAGACAGTTGGCTTTGTTACCCCACTGCATGTTATATGCTTTCTCTTAGAAATGTGCCAGGAGTGGCAAGTCCTGAACTCCCTGGAAATTCTGTCTCTGACTGCATCCGTGGAGGTTGCCTAGTTTTTTTGGGGGGATGGGTGCACTCTCTCATCCTGACCAGACAGCTGTGTACTGTCACTGGGAGGTTGACCCAGCCTTTCTGCAGGGGGCTCCTGTTTCCTCTGTTCCCAGGGGGGAAGCTATATCCTTTCTGAGGGATATACTCCCTCCCCAACCATTGCCAGGCCTCTCGCCTTGCCATCTTTGACCCAATGTCCTCAAGAAGACTTGAAGTTCCTCCCATGGCGTTTGTTCCTAAGTCTTGGCTTGTCTCCATCTCTTTCCCTTTCCTGTACTCACACTGGCTCCATTGTGGAACTGGGCTGGGATGGAAGCTTTGCTCAGGAAGGCTGGGAGAGGCAGGGCCCTGGCTGCAGGTACCTGGGACAGAGGTGATGCTCCTTTGTGCAGGGCTATTTCTCCCCTCAATCCCCACACTGCCATTGTCCCCTACTTCTTTTTTTAATCCTCACCCGAGGGTATTTTTCCATTTATCTCCAGATAGAGTGGGAGGGAGAGAGAGATGGAGAAACAGACATTGATGTGACAGAGACACATCAGTTGGTTGCCTCCCACATGACCCCGACCAGGGCCGGGGACCGAATAGCAACTGAGGCACATACCCTTGACCGGAATTTAACCCACAACTCTTTGGTCTGTGGGCCGATGCTCTAACCGCTGAGCAAAACCAGCCAGGGCTCTGCCACACTTCTTCATTCTCCTCTGCCATCTTTTTAATCCTCCTCTTTTTCCACGTTTTATCATTTTCTCATCTCCTCTTTTATTTCTCCTTTTAGGTCCTTTGCCCTGTTTCCCTGCCTGCTTTATTCATTTGTCCCCCATCATACCCAGTGGGTAGACGTGGGATCCCCTGACCCATTTCCCTTCTGACTGAGTAGTCTGTCCCCATTAGGATTTGAGCCTAACCTTACCAGGAATCAAGGGATTCACTGTTCACTAGTATCCTTGTGTGTGGGGGGGCACTTTTTTCCTTGGGGCAATCTTTCAACACTGCCAGCCCCTTGTGGGGGTGGGAGAGAACAGACCTTATCACCAATCGCTACCCTTAGAATTCCCTGCTCTTGTGGGAGTGTGTCTCCCTGCTGGTGGGACCTATCGACCCTGGGCCTGGAAGACTACAGGTGTGGCAGCTTGGTAGCTTACTTGCGGACTATGGTAGTACAGGGAATGGCTTTAGGTTGGCCATCTCATGACTTTGCTTAGTTGTAGACTAAGAACTATGATAGGCTTTGAGTCTTAGTGAATTTTGCTTGTTGGAGCTAAGCAGGGTAAGGGGTGAGTAGTATCTGTCCTTGAAAGTTTAAATGGTATTTTCTCCACTGTGTTGTGCATGAGTTTGGGTGTACTGCTTGTGGGAAGTTGCTCATATTCCTTCGGGAGGAGAACAGAGCTTCTGCCCTTTCCTTAGGCTCTTCAGAGAGCGGGAAAGGATCCCAAGGGGAGGGGAGCCAGTGAAAGTGTTCAGGGGTTGGGGCTTTCTTCCGGTCCCTCATTCTTTCAATTACAAGGGGCCTCGGGGTCACAGCAGAGTGATGTAAGTGAAGCATGTGGCCTGCTACAAGGTCGCCCTCAGGTTAATTCTTTGGTACCTTCATGGATCCGGAGGCGCTGCTGTTTATGACTGAATTCCTGACAAAGTTTTATCCGGGTATTTGAACTGGAGCTTAAATCCTTTCTGAGATAGTTTGTTTATATATGAACTGGGTTATGACCTACTTTCCAAGGCTTTTGTGAAGAGTAATAATAATACCTAGTGTTTATGCAGTGCTTAATATGCGCCAAGCACTTAATTTTCACCAAAATCTTATGAGGTGCAGGTACTATTATTATCTCTATTTTATAGATGCAGAAACTGAGGTGCACCAAGATTACATAGCTTGTAGTCACATAGTAAGTGGCCAGAACTGGAACCCCAGCCCCTGACCCAAAGTCTAGGCTTATATCCTCCATGTATGTAAAGTTGCCTGACACTCCACTCGCTCGCCACATAAAAGAGCCTCGGGAAGGTTAGGTGATAATGTTGGTGGATTTTGATGACTGCTTACAGAGTGGAAGTGATAAAAGATTTCCAGGGTTTGGTTGGGGTAGAACGTGTGGTGCCCTGGGGAAGGAAGCTGATGTGAGAGATTGCTAGCCCAGCTTCTCGCAGAGGTGAGTCAAGCCACAGTGAGGTTTCTGCAGGTCCTGAGGCAGGGCCCACTTCCCCCTCCTTCTCACCAGTGCCTCCCTTCCTCCTGCCATGCAGGGTGATGTGAGCAGAGCCCAGGAATGCCTTATGTGGATCGGCAGAACCGCATCTGTGGGTTTCTGGACATCGAGGAGAATGAGAACAGTGGCAAGTTTCTGCGGAGGTACTTTATTCTGGACACCCAGGCCAACTACCTTCTCTGGTACATGGACAACCCCCAGGTGAGAAGCTACAGGGGAGGATGGCAGGGTGGCTGGCTGCCTATCACTGCCTGGGAGGAATGCACATGGATTATCCTCAAGGACTTCATCTCTCATGGGCAGCACTGACCTGCTGATCAGTAAGGAGGGGAAAACGCCACTATACACACACACGCACGCGCACACACACCCTTGTGCACAGGAAATCATCCCAGATTTTAACTTGAGAAAAAGCTCATTTCTCCTGACACAGGGGATCTGATGTCTTTTCTCACACTCAGGAATTTAATACTTGCAAAAGTCAGGCAGAGGCCGGCCAGGCTGGATCTGGGCTCCGAAGCATGGCTTGCTTCCTCTCACGTCTCTTGTTAGGGCTGTGGCCTTGTGGCCACTCCTGCTCTTCCAGTCTGGGGCCCTCCCCAGCAGAGAATGTGACCTGGTTCCCTGAGCTGGACAAATGTTGGACTGGTCTCCTGCATCCAGTCAGGAGTCCCAATACTGGGTTGGAGGTGACCCTGAAAGTCTCCTAGTTTTGCTTCCTTGCACTACAGATGAAAAAGCTGAGTCTCAGACATTGGAATTGACAGGGGCCCGCTAAGTTTTATTGCTGTACTTGGGGGTCCCTGGAGTTGTCCCTGGTTTGGGAAGAAGTTGCTCTGGTCCTGATGTGGGATCTCAAGTCTTTTTCTGGTGCTGTGAGTGGCTCTTTCCTTCCCACTGCCCTAGAGCAGTGTGGTGGGATGAGGCCCCTGGATGACAAGATCATGGGTCATGACCATGTTGTATTGGGGAGGGGTGTGGGCCTGAGATTTGGCTCTGGTTCAGAGACCTGGGAAGAGAAAAGTCTGAGTGTTGGGGGATGGATTTGGACTTAAAGATGTAAAGTGAAAAAAAGAGTTGTGTGAGTTTCTAGGTCATTATCTGGGGATGAATCCTCTAAAGACCTGTGGCATTTGTCCTCTGGATTTGATGGCTGAGAGAAAACACTATAGATACAGAAAATATACTTAGAGCTCAGCTCCTGTAAATCGCCTTCTCCAGGAGAGACTTAACCCTAACTAGAACTGTGCCCCTGTGTCACTCCGCATTCCTGATAGACCTTCTGTTGACTACTCTTATTTAAAGTGCTGAGCATGCAGAAGAAAACCTACCTATGGATGCTTATGTCCTTGACTTAGCCTGGAATGCTCGCCTCTTACGATGTTTTGTTTTTGGGTTTGCCTTTGGGCCCTGCTGTATCATTTTTCCTGCCTTTGCCCAGCAAAGGTGACCACAGCTGAGTCAACAGATCTACTGTGAAAGGAAGTAGCATTTTAGGTGCCACATCCCCACTGTTGGAGGAACTCAAAATCAAGTCTTGTGGCCAGTACACTTGGCTTCTGGCATGCGGGGAAGAGCCCTAGTGATGTATTGGTCTCTGAGTCTTGGAATTCCTTTTCCCCTTTTCTTTCTTTGTGTATACCTTCTCCCACTTACCTGCCATTTTAGCTCAGGTAACTCAAGTGTTTTTTTGTCCTGATTTACTCGCTCAGTGCTTTGCTTCCTACGAGGAATGTTCTTAACCCAAATTCACTTGCTTGAGGAATCCTCCCTAGCCGTTGCCAGCTACCTCCCTTAAGAGTTGGAACCTCCTTCATACTCTGGGCCACAGGCGGCAAGTCTTGCTGTCAGTGACATGTCACCCAGGACCACAGTGTCACCATTTCCAATTGCGAATGGTGCCAGTTGTCAGGATTTCTCTTGCTGTTTCTTCCCTTCTGGTTTGACTATCCCTTGGTTCCAGACCTGTGCTCACCTGGGATGCTGGGACTTGGGCTGCCTTCCTGGGGTATCTGGGGTCAGCCTCTGCAGCAGGTCCCACCCTGCCCAGGGCAGCCTCCTGTGCTTCCCTGCCAACTGAGCTCTCAGGATGCTCTTTGTGCTAGAGCTTTCTTTGAGTTTGAGTTACCAAATAAAACTCGTGGCCCCTGCTGGAGACTCTTTACATTTTCCCTGGAGGCAGAAATTTCAGCTGGCTTGGCACATGCCTAAAAAAGGAGAGTCTGGCTGTGACACAGCAATATTTCAGAACATTTGACTTCTTTAGTTGTTGGCTTAGCTCTTTGTTGTGTTGATGGCCAAACAGGCATTCTAGACTCGAGAGTGGATATTTTTGTAGGTTGTAAAGTCGTGTTAGTGAACCTTTATTACTATGTGCCAAGCACTGTTCTAAAGACTTCATTGGGTTTTCATTTCATCCTGACAACAGTCTAATTGGTAGGTATTATTGTCCTCGTTCTAAAGGTGAGGTGGGTGAGGCAGAGAGGGGAGGACATTTGCCCGTGGTTACATAATAAGAGAGTGGCAGAGCCAGGATTCTAACCCTGGCAGTCTGACTCCAGTTCCCCTGCTATTATTGCTGATAATGAGACAGGCTTCTTACTGTTGCTTGGGAAGAAGGAAAGCTTTCAAAAGTAGTCTCTGGTTAAGAAATAGAAGCCAGAGGACTCTCAGGGCTGGGAGCTCCTATATAGCAGGGGGCTCATCTGGTTCAGCTTCTGATCCACAGTGTCCAGCATTTGGTAAATGTGTGCTCATTAAATTAATGAATGAACAAACTAAAGAGGGCCAGGTAAAGAGGCTGTCAGAGGGAGGTCTTTATGAAATGCAGAGTGCCTGACACCACTCTCCTGGGGCTGGGGACATGGCTTAAACCAAATGGAAGTTCTGTAGGATGCGGGAGTCAGGAGAGAGATGAATTGGAAGTGATCCCAAGAGCAAACTGGACGGTTTTGATCTGTCCCTATGAAGAGAGACACTGAGAACTCCCTTTGGTCACTGAACATCTTACTTAGGGAAAAGGAGGCACCTGATATAATATCTTAGTTATTTAATAGACATTCATAAGTGGGATTTTTTCCAAACCCAGGTCTCTGATCTTTGCCTGTTTAAGCCACTTGGTGTTTAGGGAGCCTGTTTTTACTACCAATGTTAGGACTATTGTTACCAACTGCAGGTAATACTTACTGAGCCTTATTGAGTAGTTGCCCTGTACCAGCCATTGTGCAAAATACATGTATCATCTCATTAAGTCCTCACACGCATCCTGGGACTTGAGGACTATTATCATTCTGACAGTGTTCTGTGGGGTGCAGAGAAGTCCAGCGACTTTGCTCAAGGTTGCACAGGTGGTAAATGGAGAGCCAGAGTTGGAGCCAGGCCTGTCTGACTCGAATGTCTGCTTTTCACCCTTGTCTGCTTCCTTTCTCCTACTGATGCTTGTGCTCAACCTTGGGCAAGGTCCTATCGACGAGGTGGAAGGTGAGCTCAGTGAGGTCTTTGCCACTAGGATGCTTCAGCTTCACTTGGGGAGATGAAAACAATACACACAAAACTATAGTGTGGAAAATCCAAATCTGTGTTTATAACCAGATAGCATATCATTAAGTTGAACCACACAGATGCCAATATTTTGGTTGAAGGAGAAGGGGTTGCAGTATTCCCCACTGATGCCCATTTGGGGAAGAAGAGGGCCTGGAGGTGGAGTCTCAAATGGAACCTTCTCAGGTCTGGAAGACGAGATCAAGGATCAGATCCTGGCCCTGCCACCAAGTTGTTTTGTGTGTAATCAAGTCATTTATCCTCCCTGGGCCATGGGCTCTCTAAATGATCCTTAACATGGCTTTTGGCTCTTTATTCCTAAAGGGCTGAGAATAGAGTAAGATCCTGGAGTTCACAACACTATTTAACACATAGTTGCTAAACGTGCCCTGCACACCAGATACCACCAGTCAGATGCTGAGGCTTCCGCAGTGAACAGGACAGTCTTCACCTCCATGGAGCTTACACTGTAGCTGGGGAGGTGGATGATTAAATAAAAATGTGGCAGGGAGAACTATAGGGCACCCCTTTGAGGAGGGGGTGAGCAATGAGTCCAAATCTGAAAGTGATTACCATGAGAGATTCCCATTTGTAGAGCGCAGTACGGGTTTTGAAGTGTTTTCACTTATAATATCTCATTTGATTGTTATGCACCCTGGAGGAAAGGGAGGAGGAGAGTGTTCTCAGTCCTCCTGGGGCAGGGGCAGCACCAAGGAGGGAAGGTGAGCTTGCCTGGATCGAGGGTGTTTAAGGTCTGGTTCCCCAGGAAACCCTGGACAAGGATCTGCGGTAAGTTCTTTATTAAGGAAATGTTCCTGAGTGGGTCAAGTGTGCTGGGAGCAGGACAGGGAAGGGGAGGAAGCCAGACAAGGCTGTCAGCTCAGGAGAAGTCTGCAGAGGGTAGGTAGGCCTTAGTCCGATGCTGCAGGGGGGCCAACAATAAGTGAGGCCTAAGGGTTGTCCCAAGGGGGCTGGGCTTCTGTATCCCCCGCTGGATGGTCACTGGTTCTGGCTCTACACAGGTGGGCAAAATGGCTCCAGTGGCCTGACGACAGCTCTCTGAAGTAAAGCCACAGGTGCTGGCCATTGAGCACAGTGAAACATCAGAGACGGGAGGCCAGCGACAGTGTCTGCTCCTGGGGGTGCGTGTTAGGGGTCAGCCTGTGTGGACCAGGTACAACCTGAATGCGGCCAGAATTTAGTTTTGATATTGGTAAAGCAAGGACTCAAGGTTTTTAATACAGTCACTGGTGACACCACACTGATCTAGGATGAAACCCATTAGTTAAAAAAACACACCCTATAAATGGGAAGTTTCAGTCTTATTGATTAGGGTCACTGATTTGGCTAATGCATTTAAAAATCAATATGCTGACAATATCAAGCACACAAATAATTCTTGAATAGAGACAAACATTGGCTGGGTCTTCCTTAAAACATTTCTAAGCTATGATGACATCAACACTTGATTTAATGCTGGTCCCTATCATGAGAGGGGATGCAGTTCTTTAATAGGGCTTCTGTACTTTATTACCATGATCTACAGAGTAACTACGCTTTAGTTGTATAGCAACGCTCACATTCCACCTCCTAATGGCCGCTTGGCTAAGTAATTGCAAGACTAAATTATATAGCCTCAAACAAAGGAGAAACAGAAGCAC